CCGCATGTATTGCATGAACACGAGTTGCAACTTCCTCCCTCCATCTCGTCAACTGTGGGTGTGCAGGATGTCTGATGCCGCTGCACGTTTGGCGCAGTGCTTTTATACCACCTCGGACTCACCTGATCCCCCTTCATGGTGGCGCGTGGTCGTGCGTGAGTGGGTCATGAGAGTGGCCACCCTCCTTCGGCGTCTGAGGCGCAGCACTGAGTAGGCACGTGGAGTTGAACAAGCTCGACGAAGCATGTCCACAGTCCACAACACGTGTGTCATGTTGTTGTTGCTTCACACGAGTGGACGTGTGATTGTTGGAGGGAGGACAGAGCTGTGGCGTGATGAAGGTGTGCAGTGGCACAACATTGGTGGAGCTGTTGAGCTCCACGGTGGTGCGAACTTGAAGAAATGAGGAGTCGTTGGTTGTAGGAGAGGGAGGGTGGTGTATGCAAGGCCAAAGTCAAGTGGGGTAGGGATTTGTTGTGAGTGGAGGCACGTAGGCTGTGGGTCATTTTATCACTCGTTGCGCCGCACTGTCTGTGAAGGTGTGTGTTGGCAGGCCAAAAGTGTGCATCTCAATATTGGGTGTGGGAGGGAGTAAGAGTGAATGTTAGCGAGACAAGATTGTGTGGGAACGGCAAACCTGTGCTATGGATAGGAGTGTGTGTGTGTGTGCGAGGAGGAACGTGTGGATTGCAGTCTTCTCGTCGCATCGCCGATACCGGCAAACGACGCCTTTCCGATGGAGACAATCCTGTTGGCGTAATCAGGGAGAGGAGGAGGAGGAAGAGAGGCCATTGCTCCTCACAATCTCACTTGTTCGTTGCAGCCTTTCGTTTGGCGCAACAAATTCCTTTGGTCTTCATGATGTGGTGCTAGCGAGAGCGCATTTGGTGGTGACTGCAGCGACATGCTGCTAATTGGTGGAGTGAAGTGATGTGGTGATGCGGTGATGCGATGGTGTTGAAGATGCTCACTATTTGTCGGTGACGTCGTGGTGGAGATGGGAGAAGGTGGTGCTACGGAAGTGAGCCGAGGCGACCACGTGCACAGCAAATGGAGAGACTGCTAAATGATACAGTGCATTTCCAT